GCCCGGTGCCCCTGGTCTGCTGGAGACGGTCTCCAGCAGACCAGGGGCACCGGAGCAGCTTACGAACGGGGCTTTCTCGCCCCGACTTCCGGGGCAAGAAAGCTCCGTTCGTAAGTGCGGATCCGACGTAAGTCGGATCCGCGTAAGTCGGGGACTGCCTGTACATAAGAACGGCTGTACCGGGTCAAACTAAAGGTCCATCTAGTCCAGTATCCTGTCTGCCAACAGTAGCCAGCACCAGGTGCCCCAGAGAGGGTGGACCGAAGACAATGATCAAGCGATTTGTCTCCTGCCATCTCTTTCCAGCCTCTGACAAACAGAGGCCAAGGACACCATTTTATCCCCTGGCTAATAGCCTTTTATGGACCTAACCTCCATGAAATTATCTAGCTTCTCTTTAAACTCTGTTATAGTCCTAGCCTTCACAGCCTCCTCTGGCAAGGAGTTCCACAGGTTGACTGTTTGTCCATCGTGGTCGATGAAGACCTCAACGCCACTAAGTGCTTTGAGATTGGATATGGTGTGTCCGAAGATGACTTATCAGGCCAATTCGGGCACCAAATGTCCTGGAACATGTCGGGCAGACATGTGTAGGCATTGCTATCGTTGCGCTGGTAGCTTTGGACTTGCGCAGCATGCGCTTGTGTTGTGCTTCAGAGATGCGCCTTGTTTCGAGAGCTTGGCATCCCTTGTGGATGAGACTGTGCCAGGCAGGGTGGTTGTGTGCCAGCGATTCCCAGGTGGTTGTATCAATTCCGAATGACTTCAGGAAGGCCTTGAGTGTGTCTTTGTAACGTTTCCTCTGTCCACCACGTGAGCGTTTACCAGTAGAGAGTTTCCCAAAAAGGAGCTGCTTAGGTATACGTTCGTCCGGCATACGAATGACATGACCTGCCCATCTAGTCTGTGCACTCATCACCAGAGTGTAGACTGATGGTAAACTTGCTCGAGAGAGAACCTCTGTCTGGTATTTTGTCTTGCCATCTGATGTGTAATATTCTGCGAAGACAAGTCATGTGGAAGTGATTAAGCTGTCTTGCGTGCCTCCGATACACAGTCCATGTTTCACAGGCATACAGAAGGGGACTACGTACCACGGCTCTGTAGACCTTCAGTTTTGGTGCTTGGCTGATTCCTCGATGTTCCCATATAGTGGGGCGCAGTCTACCAAAAGCAGAACTTGCCTTCGCTATTCTGCATGTGACTTCTATGTCAATGTTAGCTGCATGGGAAAGAGAACTGCCGAGTACTGCAGAGGTAGGTAAACTGGTCCACTGCCTGTAGCATCCACCCTGTGACTGTGATTGTGGGTTCTGTGTACGGTGTATAAGGGACAGGCTGATACATGACTTCGGTCTTTCTGCTGTTAATGGTGAGTCCAAAGTTGTCACAAGCTGTGCAGAACTTGTCCACACT